GGTCTTCTTCTCTTTGGCAGGTCGCTTATCCACTGCTTTCACAAGAAGCCTATTACTTAAAGTAAAACCATCCCTTTTCTTACCTTATAGTTATGCTTCTCATTTATTTACTAATTTAGTAATTCTTCAGTTTTCAAGCAAAGGTTTAGATTTTTTATTTTTTATGAATTTTATCCTACTTTTTCAGTGACTTTCAGTAGTAGAATTTGTCAGTTTACCATTGTTTGGAATGGAAAAACTCTCAACAAATAGGTTTTGCAACTTCAAAATAATAAATCCTGCAATCTAGACTTCATTCTTTGAAAAATAACTTTTGATAGTATACCTGAGGAAAAATTTGACCCAAAAGTGATATTTAGCTATTAAGTAACATTTTCTGTTATTCTTTAGATGATAGTGTTGCCTAAGTAGTAATTAGTTCTTCAGATCAGATAATGCCTGCTATTTTATAATGATATGCATGTATCATTGGTTTTGTGTACCCTTGTCATGTTGTAATTGATATTTGTTGCTTTATTGTATTAGGAAAAATAACTTGGGAAAAATCTGGACTACCTGCAGTGTTGTGTCACAGATAGCTGTAACTCAATGACCATTTTATATATGGAAAATGAACTCTTAGTAATATGGTTTCAGTAGAAAAATAATTCTCTGTCATCAAGTGAGAATTGGAAAGCTTGCATTGTAAAATGAAATTCTCTCATGTACTGATAACACATTTTTGAAATGACAATAATACAACCTAAGTTTTATGGAGAGAGGAAAGTCATGCTGTTCCAGTTATAAAGATTTCTGATAGAAGTTTGCTTTAATGTAGATTTTAAGATCCCATTCTGTAGCGTTTCTTACATCTGCTTTATAGCTTCTTGTGGTTACAACTTTTTAGTGTGCTATTGATTGGTCTGAATGAAATATCCTTTTAGTTCTATTTCCTACTGCCTCATACACATCTTATATGAAATGAACTCTTATTTGGACTAAAAATGTTTATTATTTTCCTTTGTCATAGGATAAGAAGTGGATTCTCAATCATGAAGATGTCACATTGGGAGAATTACTGGGAAAGGTATATAATCAACTGAGCTAACTAACCAAATGTCTGTATAATAATTGTGAACACTGTTGATGTCCTCATTTTCTCCCTTTTTGTATATTACAGTGTATAGCAAGGCACATTCTCTCACTAACCTAGAAGAATACAATACCACATCTGTTATAAATATATGATACTCACTAAATCAGTGTGTGAAAATCTTTAAAAGCTTTAAGGATACTTCTTTACTTTTAAAAATACTACGAGTATTTTGCTCTGAAAGAATTAAATGGTATAATGATCTTATTACTGTATTGTAAATTCAGAAATATTGAGTTGCTACTTGAAAAGACATTGAGGTAATACAAGTTTAAATAAGCACCTGATATTCTTATTCAATTTGTTTCTGATTATAATTACTAGTTCAGAAAAAGCAAAATGCTCTTCTTTGAAATTTCAGGATTTTTTATAAAAAAAATCACTGGATAGAACAAAATTGGGCACATTACTTTAATCTAAAAGTTTTGTGTACAATGCTTATGTTCCAGTATATTCATTTTGTAGCTAGCACAGTGCTCAGAAAAGGCTGCTCTATATAATGGATGTTCTTTCTATCCTTCTGGTTGGAAAAGTCAAGAATCATCCTTAAACATGTTAAAAGTTGTCATACATTGTTATTCTAACTCAAACTCCATATGAAAGTGTATCATGTGTAAAAATAATGGCAGATATTTGATATTTAATCAAGTGAGCTGTTGGCAACTGTATTAATGGTTTATTTACAGTACTCTAGTGGGTAAATATTAACTTCATTGTCAGTGACTTTTTTCATATGAAATTTTGAACTGAGTTTAAGTTCATAAAGCTCTGTGAAAAGTATTATATAAAAGAAGTATTTAGGGAAGTTTTCACTCATAAACTTTTGGATCAACAGATTACACTTAAAGCTTAGCATTCTAATAGAAATTAAAATAATTATCTTTCACTTTTTGACTCAAATGTCAACATTTTTTTCACCCATTTTGTAGCTCTATTGTCTGTGGAGAAAGTAATTCTCTATTGAGCCGTCTAAAAAATTTTCTGTTGAAATTCATGAGTCTTATCTAAATATCTTTTCCAAATTGAATTATTAGATTGCTATTAAAAAACAATTTCTTTTGATTACTAGTACACTTTTAATTATTAAGCAAGTTCTAAAGAATCTCAAGTTAAAGTAGTAGGTTGATGCATGTATTTCCTGTGTTGTGCTCACCAATTTTTTTATTTTTTGATTTATAGCTTTTTAAAAATGTTTTACAGCTTACAACTTTGTTATATCATTGATCACTTTTGTACAGTAATTGTTCCTCTCCTCATTTGTAGCACCCATAATTCTCCCAAAACCATATAAATTGTGAGCCTTCAACATATTCTCTCATGTTCCCTCCCCAGATTCAAGCACCTTTTTTCCTACTCCCTTACGTATCAGACCCGCTATCAACGCTGGTTTTGTCTTTATTTTTTAAATGCTATTTTGAGCTAGTAACTCAGTAGCAGTGATTGAATCAAAAATTCTTAAAGAGAAATTAAATACATTTCCATGAAAATACCCTTTAATAATAAGTTTTAAAATCAGATCACTTCCTGAAATAAAATGTGTTAAAGGACAGATTTTTGCAGCAGTAAGGTAAAAATGTTTTTAGCTAAAGAAAAACTTTTATTGTTTTATGTTTAATGTGCAAAATACAGCATCTCAAGGAATTTTAGTCTTCAGCTCCTTAGTAAGCCTATTTCCCTGAATAATTTTTACAGTGAAACAACAATGACATTACTTATTTTTAACAAAAGACTGAAATTTTAGGGACACCATCTATCTTAATTTCAGCTAATGATTTTGAGTGGAAAATGACTTCTATACTGAGTATATATTTGTAGTATATTTCTTGATAATACATGTGTAAAAGGAAATTTTCCATGATTCCTAAACTTAGGAACTCTGAATTTTGTAGACTATAGGGTATAAATTTGAACTTTTTAAAAAAGAGTTATTTATTCATATAGAGCTGGAGTACAGGCTAGAGGGGCAGGAGTGAGAGGATTCATCAAAGACGGAGTGGGGAGCAGGACAGTTCGGCACTTTCGTCTTAGTCAATAAATATTTATTCAGTGCTCAAATATTTGTGAATAAAGCAAAAACATTTGCTTTCATGTGGCTTATACTCTAACAGGGGGAAATTAAAGTGAGCATAATAAGGGAAATTTTATAATGATAGAAGACGCTAAGCTCTGAAAAATATAACGAGTTTAGGAGTGCTATTTATCTGAGTTGCAAAGTTTTGTTAAAATAGTTTCTCAAATAAAATATTAGAGGCAGGTTTTAGTCATGTGGATATCTGAGGAAGAGGGTTCTGGGTTGAGGGAACAGTGATGAAAATGAAATATGTAGGCAAAGGAAACAGTTTGGCTCTAAGTAAGAAAGCAAGAGGAGCATGATAAGAGAGGAAGTGAGTATGGTGGACTGTGTATGCCCTTGGAGGTAATCTTCTCTACCTGACATTTAATATATATGGACAGGACTGGTGACCCCTGGTACGATCACACTTTTTATAAAGATCATTCCCATTTGTTGTGTTGAGAATGTAAATTATCTGAAGAATTGTAATATGGCTATTGGTTAGCATTAAGAGGTTTTTGTTCCTAAATTTTAAGGAAAATCAGTCAACATTATAGAGGAGATGGCATCACTGGCAGTGTCAAAGTTTAAGATATAATTGTAGAAAGATCACTGAAAGAGAGATGTTTAAGAAACAGTTGAAAGTGTTGAAGTAATCTGTAAGTCTCTATTGAACTTGCTAAGAATTAAGGCAGGAATAAAACTATTAGTTATCTTAAAGTCAGATTTTTAATCATGGGGGGGGAATAATTTCAGTTTCATAACTTGGTTCCAAAACTGGAAATTTTTGGAAAGCAATAAGGAAAATGTTTTGAAAACAGTGACAATATTCTTGTAGAGTGTTTTATTTCATCTGCAGAGCAGTTGGAGGGGTGGAGTGGCACATGCTCACTTAAATATATTCTCAAATTTCTACTAAAACCAGAAGGTAAGAAAAGTAGCCAGAGAATAGATTAGCATAAAATATGCTATATGATGAAGATGGTATATGAATTAAGAAGGCACAATGAAGTTTCAGATAGAAGGGAAAAAGTCAAAGAATGAGATTTACATAGCAGTATGAAGTAATTAATGAGATTTAGAGAGAGGGACGTAAGGATTAAACTTGATCCAATATCTTCATGTTTACTGACATAAACATAGACATGAGACATAATGGGATTTAGCCTTTTGTACTTAAGGCCATTAGCAGAGACAAAACGGTCTTATATGATGGGTATATAAGCTTCCTCTGAACTCTTTGCACAAAAAAGAGGTACTCTGGGAAGTATAATCTCTCACTCTCCCTTTTTTAAAAGATTTATTTACTTATGCATACAGAACTAGAGTATAGGCCAGAGGAACTGGGGCAGTGAGAGGATTCACTAGAGACAGAGTGGGAAGCAGAACAGGCAGATCAATGAAGGACACTGCTGAGGGGAGCAGTGGGTGAGGAGAGGTCTTGGCACCATGTGGGTCACTTCTGGGGCTGGGGATCTGGGTTCATACTTGCACCAAAGTGGCTGCAGCTAGCTTGTAGTACTTGCAGTGCTGCATCCTAACCAGTTGTGCCATCAGGGAGGGTCTGGAAGCATAATCTCTTTTCTCAGTATTGATGGTGACAAACATTGATAGAGTTGAACTCCATATAATGGATTTTTGAATGAATGTTAAAACATTTCAAAGGATAATATGTAGTAAAATTTGTTTATATAGGGTACAAACCATTAGAAAGATACAAAAGAACAATAGTGTCAACTATTCAATAATGGGAAATGTACTTTTGGGAAGATCAAGAAAATCATTATGACAGTGAGGGGAATAAGAATTGGACTAAAAGTTAGTTACCACTTTTCTTATTTGAGGTAGAGGGATTTTCCACTGAGGGAAAATGTATAAAGACATAGAATTTGTTTTGGGAGCTCTAAGCATTCTGATTTTAGAATATGTGTAACCATTGGGCACTATAACAAGAATTGGACAGGCTAAGAAATTGATGGTAATTTAAGGATAGATATTGAATAAAGAAGTAGTTTAATCAAAGCATTCTCGGAAATATTAATTTAACAGTGTTGTGGTGGATAGATTGGAAGAGTGAGAGACTGAAGATGAGATCAAGTTAGTTGTAAAACGGGATCGTGAATCAGGTGGTATTTCCAAGATGTAAAGGGACAAGACAAAAATATAGTAGAGGTAGAATCTAAATATTTATGGAGAAAAGTAAGTTAGCCAGTAAAAGTTTTCTGATGACCAAAATGTTAAGTTTTTAAACAATAATTGTTTGATGGAAGCCAGGAGCAATTGTGTATATTATATCTTTTCTCAACTGCATCTCAGATGTAATAAATGATTGTATAATTATGTGTGTCTAGGAATCTTGATATAATAAGCAGTGAAGGATTGAAACTCAACTTTTCCTTTTTTCTTAGGAATATGAATCTACTTTGTTGACAATTCGTAATTTTTTTTCTCAAAGTAGCATCAGTCGTTATTTTAAATGAATATTTAGGTGTTGAATATTATATTTAGAAATGATGCTCTTCAATATATAGTATATAAAATATTCAAAACTCTACCAAAAACTGTTAGAAGTAATGAATACAGTAATGCTGTATTATATAAAATCAATATACAAAATTTTTTGCATTTTTGTAGGAAAACAATGGACTGGCAGATAGAGAAATAAAAGAAATATATCATTTAAGATTAAATGAAGATTACCTAGAAATAAATTAAGCTTCAGAAATTAAGGCCCTGTACAATAAAAACTATAAAGATGCTGATGGAAAAAAATGAAAAGACACCAAATAAAGGGAAATATTTTCTTTCTTAACAGCAAAAGAAACAAAAAATAATATCAACAAATGAGACTACATCATGCTTAAGGGTTGGAAGGATCAAG